CAGTAATATTCCAGCAAAACCCGGTTTTGGTGTGATTTATAACAATCAATAAAATATTCTTGTTAAATACCAAATAAAAACATGCACACAACAAGTTCAAAAGCGTTTTTGTCTTATTTATTCAATATTTAGATTCCCTCGACTAACTGAGATGCCTCTTTTCATGAAAATAATAATGATGATAATGATGAAATCAAAAAAAGATAGCTTAACAAAGAATCATGACATTACAAAGAAAGAAAACAGTCAGAATGGTAATAATAGTAATATGTAACACTTTTGAATTAATAATTTTGCCAAAAAAAAGATTTTTTTTATCATAAGAAAGCAGAAAATTGTTTAACAATCTTCCATGAAAAAAAAATCATATCATTACAATTTGTTTACAAAAAAAGGGATACATTTAACTGTAGAATTTAATATCACGATCTTTCATACATTATATAATTTAAAAATTTTTTTTTCTGAATTGTAGGAACAACTGAATAAACACACAATAACTAGGTATATTCCTAATCTTTTATTTTTACTTTTTCAGCAATTCTGTTTCTTACATAATAATGATAATGATAATAATAAAAGTTAACTAAAATTCCTCATACAGAAATAAACAGAAAAGTCGCCTTTAAGACTCAAGTTATGACTTTAAATAGTCCAGTGAAAAAGATGCACAGTGTGAACAGATAAACAAACTCATTTCACTTAATAAGTGATTTCATAACTCACTAGCAAAACTATTTGCGTATTTTCAAAATAAAATGCACTTGAGTATTGCTTTGATGCCGTGTTCCTTTTCTACAGTTTTCTGGTTATCATTGTATTCAAAGTCGGCTATGAATTAAAGTTTGGCTCTCCCTAGCCAAGAGATCTAACTATTTTTCATTTAAAACTTTTACAAAAAATGAATGAAATAAGAAGAAAATTAAAGTTTAAACATTTTATTTACAAAAAATAAATATAGATTTTAATACTTTAATATCACACAAATAAGACTCTTTCATACAATCATTTAATCCACCTCCTCAATAGTTGGTTCTTTAGCTCCTTGTCTGGCTTGAGCTCCACAACCTCCTCCTCCTACTTCTCCTCCTGCACCCCCCTGTCCGTACAACTTAGATACAATCATCTTCAGACTATTCTCCAGCTCCTTCTGCTTCTCTGTGTACTCCTCCTTCTCTCCGAGCTGGTTCCTGTCCAACCAGGCCAGGGAAGAGTCCAGTTGGTTCTTGGCCTCAGAGATATCAGATGCAGACAGCTTGTTTTTTACTTCATCTTGATCTAAGGAGGATTTCATGTTAAAGATGTATGCTTCAAGTCCATTCTTAGCAGCAACCCTCTCCTTCTGTGCTTCATCTTCATCCTTGAACTTTTCAGCATCATTGACCATCCTTTCTATCTCCTCCTTGGATAGTCTTCCCTTGTCATTGGTGATTGTGATCTTCTCCTGCTTCCCACTTCCTTTTTCAGCAGCAGATACATTTAGGATACCATTAGCATCAACATCAAAGGTAACCTCAATCTGTGGAGTTCCCCGGGGAGCTGGTGGTATACCAGTCAGATCAAACTTACCCAGGAGATGATTATCCTTGGTCATTGTTCTTTCTCCCTCATAAACCTGTATTGTCACAGCTGGTTGATTATCACTGTATGTTGTGAAGATCTGAGTCTGTTTGGTTGGGATGGTTGTATTCCTCTTGATCAGAGCAGTCATAACTCCTCCAGCAGTTTCAATACCCATGGACAGAGGAGCAACATCCAGAAGCAGCAAATCTCCAACTTCACTGCTCTCATCCCCATTCAGAATGGCAGCTTGAACAGCTGCTCCATATGCAACAGCTTCATCAGGGTTGATGGATTTGTTCAGCTCCTTACCATTAAAGAAATCCTGAAGAAGTTTCTGAACTTTAGGTATCCTTGTACTACCTCCAACTAGAACCATCTCATCAATAGAGGATTTGTCAAGCTTGGAGTCTCTCAGAGCCTTCTCCACAGGTTCCAGTGTTCCCTTAAACAGATCAGAGCATAGTTCTTCAAACCTTGCTCGAGTGATTGATGTATAGAAATCAATTCCCTCAGCCAGAGAATCAATTTCTATATTTGCTTGAGCTGCTGAACTCAAGGTTCTCTTGGCTCTTTCACAGGCAGTTCTCAATCTTCTGAGTGCTCTCTTGTTTCCAGAAATATCCTTCTTATGCTTCCTCTTGAACTCCTGGATAAAGTGCTCAACCATCCTGTTGTCAAAATCTTCTCCTCCTAGATGAGTATCTCCAGCCGTAGCTTTAACTTCAAATATTCCATCATCTATTGAAAGGATGGAAACATCAAATGTTCCTCCACCAAGATCAAAGATAAGAATATTCTTCTCACCCTTAGAGCTGCTCTTCTTGTCCAAACCATAAGCAATAGCTGCTGCAGTGGGTTCATTGATAATCCTAGTAATGTTTAATCCAGCAATAACTCCAGCATCTTTGGTTGCTTGTCTCTGTGAATCATTAAAGTATGCTGGTACAGTAACAACAGCATCCTTGACTTGATAACCCAGGTATGCTTCAGCAGTCTCCTTCATCTTCACTAGCACCATAGCGCTCACTTCCTCTGGGGTAAACTGCTTGTTCTCATTCTTATACTCCACTTCAAGCTTAGGCTTACCTCCACTGTTAACAACCTTGAAGGGCCAATGCTTCAGGTCAGCTTTAACAGTGTCATCATCAAACTTTCTGCCAATCAACCTCTTGGCATCAAAGATGGTATTGTTAGGATTCATGGCAACCTGGTTCTTAGCAGCATCACCAATCAGCCTCTCTGTGTCTGTAAATGCTACATAGCTAGGAGTAGTTCTGTTCCCCTGATCATTAGCTATGATCTCCACCTTACCATGTTGGAATACTCCTACACAGGAGTAGGTGGTACCAAGATCAATTCCAATAGCAGCGTGTTTCACCATTCTTTTATGTTTGCTTATTAAGTAGTTATATTTCTTAACTTTTTGGTAAGTACTGATTAAATTTGAATCAACATTCAAGCTTTATACTGCCCAGGAATATTCGAGAATATTCGAGAATTTGTCAATATACGCAAACACCTCGCAAAGAATATTCTAGTATATTTGCTTTTCTCTGATTGGCTGCAAGATTAAAGTTGGCGTCTGATTGGCTGCAGGATTATCCTGGCCGGGTTGATGCTTTCAGGAACTTTCTAGAATAAAATTCATTCTGGGATAGATTTATGCATTTCTAGAAATTCCAGAATTTTCTGTTTAGATATCGTTAAATGAAGTTTGAAAATAAAAAAGAGCTAACAGCTTTCATGTCTATATTCTTAAAGTGTAATAAATAAAATATTTACACATTAAATGAATTATATCATGAATTTTACTTTTGTTATTCTGATTAATGTTACAATTATGATTATAACATTCATCCTTAAACACAATCTATAAAACTATTTTTCGATCAACCCCCCCCCCCCTTCCCCCTCCCCTTCCCTCTTCATCAGAGTGAGAAGGTGAATAAGCGTACGCTGAATGACCCCCCCTCCCCCCCTGAGAAATTTCAGGTAGGTATGGGTGTCAACAAAAATTTAAACACTTCAAAACAGAACACAAAAAGTTTCTAAAAACCATTTTTTTTCTCTTAAAATCTTGAGATTTTCTATCAAATAATCTTAAACAAATAAGTATTTGCTTTAAAGTGTAATTATTCTTTGTGGTTTTTCCCCTGGTACACCCTGTAAGCCCATTGTAAGGGGGTTTTCTGTAAAGTATACGAACAGTCCCAGTTCGTTTTACTAACTTTACATATTATACATGTGCTGTACACCCGCAGATGTATAACTATAAGAGAACAGAATTTGTTTACGTTTTACTGTGACGTAAGTGGGCTGTCCTATAAAACATGGGAATTTTAAGTGATGAATTCGATATCATCTTTTTAAATAACTCTTTGATTAAGTATAGTTATACCTACAGAGAAAGCTGTAATCCGTAAGATTTTCGTCTGCTATGTTTACAATTTGTTTGTTTATGTTTTGACAATACATAGTAACTATACATAGTACTTCGAAAAACAAACAAAATCACAGTATAAAAACAATACAGAGTAAACTTGTCTGTCTTCACTGTTCATCTATCAGAGACATTATAGTCACATACAGACGATATAGAATTCGTCACTGAATTCCCATGTTTATTGGGACACCATGTATAAAATAAAACTCTTCGTTCATCCTTACATATATCCGGGTGTCCCACATCAAATTAGACCGCGTCAATGGGTCTAAATTACGATTATGGGGACAAATCAGAAAATTTAAGGAGAATGAATCATTTTGAAAAATTTGATAAGACTAAAAGAATTTTTTTTGCAGAAAATGCTTGATTTTTCGAGTTTTATGTGCGAATTTTGGCGTTAAAGATTGGAAATAATCTAATATGATATGGGACGCTCTGTATAATATATTTAATGTTTTTTCTTGAAAATTCGATTTTTTAATTTGCACGGGATACGCCCTTCAACAGTATTTTATAATACCCGAATACCGGGCCATGTTTAAAATCTGTCTATATTAAAGAAAACCACTAATTTTCCTGATTTATTTTCAATATGTCAAAGTAAGATGTAAAAAAAAACCCTGCCTCCAAAATGTTTATCTTTTGTAAAACTAATTTTTATCTGTATATATGATTAAATTGACTGCTAGCGTAATTTCAAGTGACCCTCCATGCAGAGAAAGCTATACCGAATCATAGCAGTTTCAATAAAAGCTTTGTCTGATCAAGTATGAATTATATATCAATGTTAATAATTTAGAAAATTGGTTTTTGCAAAAATGGTTTTTCTTCAAAAGTGACAATTGCGCAAAACGTACATGCGTACATTTTTATAAAAGGACAATATCTTCCGGATATCATTGATAAGATTAAGGTTTTAATGGTACTGTTGTGAATCAGACAATGCCATCTTACATGTCACTTGAAATAACGCTTCAAGTCTCTTAACAAATATAGATAAGAATATTTTCAGTAAATCCTGTTTCAGAACAGAGAAATGTGGATTCTTATAATTCTAGTTTTTCTGCTCATTCTGTACTTCAGGAATATATTGACAATTTATTCTTTAAGGGACTGTAATTTATTCTTTGAAGGGACTGTAATTTATTCTTTAAAGGGACTGTAATTTATTCTTTACAGGGACTGTAATTTATTCTTAAAAGGTACTGTAATTTATTCTTTAAAGGGACTGTAATTTATTCTTAAAAGGTACTCTAATTTCTTCTTTAAATGGAATTTAATTTATTCTTTAAAGGGACTGTAATTTATTCTTCAAATGGACTGCAATTTACTGTTCAAAAGGTACTGTAATTTATTCTTCAAATGAACCGTAATTTATTGTTCAAATGGACTGTAATTTATTCTTCAAATAGACTGTAATTTATTGTTTAAACGGACTGTAATTTATTCTTCCAATGGACTGCAATTTGTTCTTTAAAGGGACTGTAATTTATTCTTCAAATGGACTGCAATTTATTGTTTAAAAGGTACTGTAATTTATTCTTTAAAGAGACTGTAATTTATTCTTTAAAGGGACTGTAATTTATTCTTTAAAATGACTCTAATTTATTCTTTAAATGGACTGTAATTTATTCTTCAAAAGAACTGTGATTTATTCTTTAAAGGGACTGTAATTTACTCTTTAAACGGACTGTAATTTATTCTTTAAAGGGACTGTAATTTATTCTTGAAATGGACTGTAATTTATGCTTTAAATGGACTGTAATATATTCTTTAAAGGAACTATAATTTTTCTTTAGAGGGATTGTAATTTATTCTTTAAAGGAACTGTAATTTATTCTTTAAAGGGACTGTAATTTATTCTTTAAAGGGACTGTAATATATTCTTTAAAGGGACTGTAATTTATTCTTTAAAGGGACTGTAATTTATTCTTTAAAGAAACTGTAATTTATTCTTTAAAGGGACTGTAATTTATTCTTTAAAGGGACTGTAATTTATTCTTTAAAAGGACTGTAATTTATTCTTTAAAGGGATTGTAATTTCTTCTATAAAAGGACTGTAATTTATTCTTTAAAGGTACTGTAGTTTATTCTTTAAAGGGACTGTAATTTATTCTTAAAAGGGACTGTAGGCGTATTTTCATGCGGTCCGACTTTTTAAATTAACAATTAAAATTTTGATTTATCATAGTTTGTCAGAAAATGTTTTTCTTTTTGTTCAGAAGATGATTATTCAATCTGAGGAAAATTTTTCTAAGAATTGCCTTAATTTACATTTAAAAATAATTATCAAAAAGCTTAGGAAAATTGAGTATTTTTGCAATTATTGCTATACAGCGGTATTATTGGTGTTGGGACATTTCATAGAAAGGCATTTTATAGAAAGACATTTTCTTAAACAGGATATTTCATAGATAAGACATTTCATAGATAAGACATTTCATTATTTTTCAAAACAATCTTTGTCAACAATTATTCTACAGGAATTGAATTCTTGCCTCAAACTATAATTTCTAATCCCAATGTTGTAGACTGTAGACTATGTAGACTATGTAGACTATGTAGACTGTGTAGACTATGTAGACTGTAGACTATGTAGACTATGTAGACTATGTAGACTGTAGACTATGTAGACTGTAGACTATGTAGACTAGGTAGACTATGTAGACTGTAGACTATGTAGACTGTAGACTATGTAGACTATGTAGACTATGTAGACTGTAGACTATGTAGACTGTAGACTATGTAGACTGTAGACTATGTAGACTGTAGACTATGTAGACTGTAGACTATGGACATTTCAAAATATGAATTCTGTTAAATAAAATGTCTAAGTTTACACCATCAGGTTACAAAGATAAAAGCATTAGAAAATTTGAGTTTGAGACAAAAAACAAGTTTCTGTGTATTTCTCATGTTAATTATATTTCCGCTTTAAACTGATAATATGCATAGAAATATTGTGAATATCTTGTTGAAATTACGCTTACAGTCCCTGTGAATACATTCATAAATGCAATTTTGAAAATCTAATTAGTTAAACCACTAAATTAAAAAGTAAAATTATAACTTATTTTCAAGTTTTTGGAGATTTTATAAATTTAGATTGTCAAATATTAATCAGGGCATCTAAACATGAATTAGGCCATCTTCCATCACCGGGTCTGTACCTTCCATTCCTTGGACACATTAAGATACTTCTCAATGGAACGGATATCCTTCTAACAATGTGTCAGTTTTATGAGAAATATTCCAAAGATGGTATCCTGTTCCTTTCAACTTTTGGACTCAATGTTGTTTTAGTGGGAGATTTTGATACTTTGAAGCAGATTTACAATCACCCAGATGTTCAGCATCGTGCTCATTCTGATCCTAAGAAATGTATTTTTGCCCATAAGATAGCAGAGGACAGAGGGGAGAAGATGGGACCGTTAAAAGGTTTGATATTTAGCCAAGAAAAAACTTGGATGGAACAAAGAAGATTCACCCTTCGGGTCCTGCGAGACTTTGGGTTTGGAAAAAGCAGCATGGAGGAGCTTATTCAGGATGAAGTCAAACAGTTTACATCATTCCTGAAACAATTTACGGATATCCCAGTTGATTTTGATGGTAAATTCAATCTTCCAGTATTAAACTCACTTTGGAGAATAACTTCTGGAGAAAGTTTTGAGTACACTGATAAACAATTAATTAACATTACCAAGAAACTTACTGAATTTTTTAAAAAGACTGGACAACCAATATCTTCATTGTTTTTAACGCAGCCATGGATTTTCAAGCTATTTCCAAATTTTCTTGGGCGGATGGATGATATGCTGATGAACAGAAGTATTACACATCTTATGGAAGAGAGTATAGTTAATCACAAGCGAACCCTTGATGTCAGCTCCCCGAGAGATTTCACTGATACAATGCTGATTGAAATAATGAACACAACAGATGAAGACTCAAGTTTTTATAAGGAGACAGGAATAAGAAACTTAGTCAATACCATGTTTGATCTATTCATGGCGGGGGCAGAGACAACCTCTACAACGTTAATGTGGGCTGTTCTCTACCTAGTGCGGGAGCAGGAGATTCAAAGTAAGGTCCAAACAGAGCTAGATTCCGTTATTGGGCAATCCCGTCTTCCTAGCCTATCAGATCGACAGAATTTACCGTACACAGAAGCTGTCATATATGAAATCCAACGCTGTGGCAACATAATGCCCACTGGAGTGCAACACATGACTTCAAAACCAATTAAGATAAATGGATTTCAAATTCCAGCAGATACGATCATTAATCCTTTTTATCCTGAGATTCATAAAGGCGAATACTGGAAGGATGGTCATGTCTTTCGTCCAGAGCGTTTTCTTGATGAATCAGGAAAACTAAAGCCCGATGAGCATCTCATCCCTTTCTGCATAGGGAAGAGGAGATGTCTTGGAGAACCTTTGGCAAAAGCAGAACTATTTCTCTTCATCACAAGTCTAGTTCAAGCCTTTAAGCTTCTGCCAGAATCATCGGCTAATGTTCCAACCGAAGAATATCAAACTGGAATTACAGTTCAACCAAAGCCTTTTAAACTTGTTCTTAAAACAAGATTCTAAAATTATTTAAAAAAATTTTCAACTTTTCTGATTCTCGTAGTCCTCATAATTGTCTAAAGTATGTTGATGCAGTTTTTTCTAATTGCGGACCCTCATGGACCACGGTTTATAACTTCAAATACACCACAGTCAAAAATTAAAATAAACATCAGATTAAATTGCCTATAAACTGTGTCTATACTTTTCCTTTGAAACATGTTAAAACTGAAACGCAACCGGTAAATGCTTAAATCAATTAAATAATAATTTAGATTTTTTAATTTGTTGCTTTATTTGTTATTATAATTTAATTACTTATAGAAACAGAGCTGAAAACTTTAGAATGATATATCCTTAATCCTGATTGCTTAATATGAGTATCCAATGTACACACTTTTGATTATATTCTTTTTTGGATAATTCTACTGTATATATATATACTGTATCCCTACTGTATATATATATACTGTATCCCTACTGTATAAAAGTAAAATTAAGTTTGATAACAATTACAGATACAATGCTATATCGATTGAACTAATATCCGATTGAATTAAAGTCAGCTGTTCACAAGCCGCTTTTAGAGCATTTAAGCAAATATAAATTTAATCAGTTAATATTAACTTATTAAAAAAAATATATTTTATCACATTTTAGGACTTATCATTATAGTCGTTAGTCTTGGCTAACATCAATCCAAAACTTACATTTATTTAATCAATGTTTAGTTCAATTGATATGATACAATCAACACCAGAAAAAAACCCGGTTTTTCAAAAGTTAAAGAGTACATCTTAACATACGCTGATCGGTTGAATTTTATACTTCTTTCTTGAATATTAAATGCGTACTAAAATAATCTTAGTAAAACCAGGAGTTTAAGCATTAATCTTGATATCCATTATTCTAAAGTTTTCAGCTCTGTTAACATATCTTAATCAAAAATATTTATAAGGTTAATGCAATAAAACTGCTTTTCTATATTAACTGTATCCAAATTATAAAATCAAAAATTTTAAAAAATAAATTGTAAAAAAAATGTTTATGAGCTTGCAAACTTTCATATTGTATATTTTGGTTTGTCTATATGTTTGAACACTTTTTATGTTGAGAAGTTATGAGTAATCGAGCAAACCTGAATTTCAATTAATTAACTTTTCTTAAGTATTCTTTATGGCTCTCCATCTAACTTTTATATCTGTCTGTCTGTCTTGTTTATCGCTTTGTCCTTATGTCTGTCTGTCGGTCTATCTGTTTGTCCTTATGTCTGTCTGTTTATCTGTTTGTCCTTATGTCTGTCTGTCAGTCTATCTATCCTTATGTCTGTCTGTCTATCGGTTTGTCCATATTTCTGTCTGTCTGTAGCTCTGTTTGTCTCTCTATCTATTCTATTTATGTATCTAAAAATAAATATTTAACATTGCTCTCGATTAATTCTTTTTATTTTAGGAGAAGCAAATGTTTACAAAAATACAGAAAGTTCTAATGTAGAATAAACTGAGATTAATAGTACTGGCAGGAGGGGGGGGGGGGTCATTCCAATTTTGAGATTAAAAAATTGTATTACTTAAGACCCTTTATTTGTAAAAGAAAAATTCATTTCAGCTTTAAGAAAGTTACCCAAGGATCCTCATATTAAAAAGTGTACTGCAGTTTTAGGGGGAATATCAACAGACTTATAAAGATTTCTTTGTTTTTCTCTATAACTTTGGGTTTCATATGTGTACTTTTTTATAACAACAAATCAAACGGTTTGAAGAAAAAATTTAGTTAGATTGAACTGAAGGAGAAATTATAAAAGTGCAATGTCACAGAGCCCAAAACTTATATAAAAACCAGTTTCATGAATGGGGTAAAACAACGCAACTTAAAAAATAACAATATTTTTGCTGATTTTAAATTATAAAGAATGGTATAAACCCATATGTAGAGAGTTTCCTTGATATTTAGTTTAAAGAAAGTGATGCCCGCTATTCTATTGGTACCTTTTTTAAACATTTATCTGAGAGATGATGTGGAAGATATTGCCGTCTATTTATCTTAAAAAGGTTAAATTCTCATGATTTCCTCCTTTGTTTCTGTTGCAAGAAATCCGACGTTCAATGTTATATGAAGAAGCCACGATTAAAAATAACTAATATCTCTACAGCGAAAATGTTTGGGGTGTACACATTTTCTTAGATTTAAATTTAAGAAATTAGAAAACAAAAAGAGAATGTAAAGAAACCAGATGAAATATTATTTTTTAACAAATATATTGATATCTACAAAATTGTCTGACCCCATTCATGAAACCGTGTTTCCGATACTGGGTTTCATGACGATACCCTGTCTTAAGTTTCCAGATCCTGGCTTGCAATTGCATGTTCCGGATTCATCTGTTCAAGTTTACATCACATCTTGTTGATTCGAGTTGATTATATCATCCTGAAAAAAATATAATCTATTTGTGTTTTATTGGATCTGACAGATATGGATAGGAAAGAGTACGTACACCCGAGCTTTTTAAAACATGTCTTTCCTTTCACGGACATTTTTATATATATACTGCGCTCGCCTGTTTGTCTGGTTGTATCAAATAAGCGTAAAAACGGCTGAACCGATTGGGCCCAAAATTTGTTTATGTATGATCAAAATGTCAAAAAAATGCCTTCAACAAAATACGATTTTCATAAAATTTTATTGGATTTTCATTAAATTTTGAAAATTCCCCAAAAAAATTTTATAAAGTCCGCGAGTTTTTTTTGTTAACATAGTTTTACAATGTTTACGATAAGAAAATGTTTGAAATTGAAAAAGAAGATTCGCGCGAAACTTCCTGAAAACCTAGTTTTTCTATAAAAGGAATTACGAAGATACCATGACAATCATTTAACGTTATTTCAAGAAAAATAGTATTTTCTTGTTGAATATCTAATATTGGGTCGAATTATTCCCTTGTAAATGAATATTTACAAACAAAATTTTAAATAAACAGGTTAGTTTCCCCATCTGATGTTGAATAAAAACCTTTTATTGGATTAGAGTAGAAGAACAAGCTTATGCAAAAATCAGAGAAAAATTATAGATTCTCAATGCACAACCAAATATTTATAAAATATTTTGAATACTTTATTTGATGTTCTTTTATTAAACTTTAGATAACAGTTTATATTTGATAACTTGAAATATGGACATCACAATTAAGAATAATTAGAATGGGATCAACTTTTTTGAGGGAAACCTGCGCGCAGGGTATCCCGGGGGTAACAGAGACTAAAAAATTTAAAATATATTTTATTTTATCATTCCACGGGCAACGCAGGGCACTTCAGATATGTTTAAATAAAAATAATGGACAAATAAGAATTTAAGCAGATTCTTTACTCATAATAAATAAATAATCTTTTACAATAACGACCTTGAAATGTTCACTCAATTCCCAGGTTTATTGAGACACCCTGTATACTATTGCATGAACATGTTTATTGAGACACCCTGTATACTATTGCATGAACATGTTTATTGAGACACCCTGTATACCATTGCATGAACATGTTTATTAAGACACCCTGTATACCATTGCATGAATATGTTTTTTGGGACACCCTGTATACTATTGCATGAAAATGTTTATTGGGACACCCTGTATACCATTGCATAAACATGTTTATTGGGAAACCTTGTATACCATTACATAAACATGTTTATTGGGACACCCTGTATACCATTGCATGAATATATTTATTGGGACACCCTGTATACTATTGCATGAACATGTTTATTGGGACACCCTGTATATCATTGCATGAGCATGTTTATTAAGACACCCTGTATATCATTGCATGAGCATGTTTATTGAGACACCCTGTATAACATTGCATGAATATGTTTATTGGGAAACCCTGTATACCATTGCATAAACATGTTTATTAAGACACCCTGTATACTATACTATTGCATGAACATGTTTATTGGGACACCCGTTATACTATGGCTTCACCATGTTTATTTGGACACCCTGTATACCATTGCATGAATATGTTTATTTGGACACTATTGCATGAATATGTTTATTGGGACACCCTGTATACCATTGCATGCACTGATGTACTTATTATAAAACCTTGTAAGGAAATCAACTATTTCATGCTTTGAATATAATTCCTAGATAAAGCCAAGAAAAGTGCGAAAATATTGCACGCAGATATAATTCCGCATATCACTGCAGAGGTGCGTTTGGCAATCATTCAAAATTTGCCAAAATTATTTAATTCATTATAATTTTAATCCTGAAATTGCAACCTTATATACGAATATAAAATAAACTGTAAAGGGAGTATGCGCCATTGTATATTCAGGTGACCTTCCTCTCTCAATTGAAAGACGCCATTTCTGATTTTCTACGGTAATCTGTGTTCCTGTATCCGACCAATAATTAGGGGTCAAGTTCCTTGAAAGCCCATGGACTGTGAGTGTGATTTAAAGTTACCCTCCATGCATTAAAGGTTCAAAAAACATGGATATCTAGTTTATACTTGATCAGACAAAGCTTTTAATGGTAACCGCTGGAAATCGGGCATTGCTATTTTTGCAGGGAAAATTACTTGATATAGTGCTTAGAGAGTAGAGACCCTTAAAATGTATGATATTGACCTTAAATCTAGGATCGTTGACAACCTCCTGCCAAGACCTGGCGTACACTGACATCTTTCCTTCATTGCATCTCACCAGGAACCACCAGGCGTACAGATCCTAGAAATCCGGGAGATTAATCAGCTGATTTTCAAAATGGCGTCCATTTGATTATTGTTCTTTTATTAATTAAATGTATTCTTGGTAGAACTTTCATTGTTTTAATTAACTTTTAGCAGAATAATGACACACATAAAAAAATTAAAATAAAACCCTCTAAAAATGCTAAAACATTGATAATTTACAGGGAGACATTGTATTGTACATCGTACAGTGTAAGTTAAGTACGGTACATAAACTGTACCTGTACAATGTCCCCATCGCAGTACACTTCTCCATACCATTCACAATCTTAACAAACAGAGGATCAATAAAACGTTGATGGCTTTAAATTTCGAAACCAAGCTTTTTTGGGAACTGACCAATCAGCGTTTGTTAATATTTCGAAATTTAGAGATGTTCTGTAAATACTTTAAATTTACTTCTGTTTTCAAATTAAGCGAAATTGCGCGGAGTTTATAGGGCTCGCAATTGCGCGCAAGTAAAATCCCCTTGTGTTGGAAACCATATCAGAATATAATACTTTTAAACCAATAAAAACAACAAT